TAGATTTACCTGGAGGAGGTATTGCTCCAATGGCCCTATCTGGTCACCAGATCCAACCCAGTGAGCCATTTGAAATAATGCACTTGCCCAAAACACAGTGAAAAGGTTACCAAAATTTGTAGAAATGCAGCATCTTGAACCTTTCTGAAAAGCAAAGGTGACTTTCTTTACAAGTGCAAATGAACAAGAGATTCTATGTCCCAATCAAGCTGCTGCACCTAAGAGGTTGCGGCGATCACCCCCTGCTGACCAAATGCCGTTTGTAACACAGCGTACACGCGTCAGAGATGGCGTTCGGAATAAACTGGTTTGTAGGGTCAGTGGATCTGTACCCGGAGTGCTAATGGGCTCTGTTTAGGGAGGAGGAAGAATTTCCAGTTAACAGTATTCAACTTCATTGTGGTCAATGAGTGAGTAAATTAAAAACAAAACAAAACCATTTTCTATGTATGACAGAATATCTTTGTAAAATGCGCAAGTGCAATAACCTAAAGAGGTCTTAACTTTGCATTTATAAATTATAAATATTGTACATGTGTGTAATTTTTTCACGTGTTCACTTGCAGTCTTTGTATTTAAAAGAAACCCTTACTGTTATGTTTGTATAATAGAACAGTAATCATTTATTATAACCTAAGGCAAGTTGTAAATAAATTCATAATTCAAACAGCCAGTATATATGCATATATGGGTGTTACATTGCAAATTCTACCTTTGTTTTACTTACATGCTTAGGAGCAGCAAGAACTCTTTTGTGGATATGTAATTATACATATAAAATATATATATGTATGATACATGAAATATATTTAGAGATGTTCATAATTTTAATGGATATCCTTTGGTGTGAATAATTGAATACAGAGTTTTTAAAACATCACCTTTCACGTTTATCATTCGCTCTCGTTTGTGGGGAAGGGAAGAGACATTTGCATGTGGAGAACGGGTGCAGCGGCCGCCAAGCCAGCGGCCAGCCCTGCAGGCCCTGTTGCGTGGGAGGCACCACGGTCACCCGGAAGTGATGTCGCACGTTTGCCGCGTCCATTTGCTAGCAGAAAGGATGAGACAAAAG